GGACCCTCTATAATCATTTCCTATCCTTACTTCCCTACTACCATACTCCCACTGGACACCATGTGACCTTGGCTGTGTGGTAATGATCGCCGTGTCTGTGTGACACTCCCCTTCCCCCTTCTTGCCTAGTTTAAAGCCCTCCTAACCAGGTTGGCACAGAGACATGTGCCCCTCTTGCTGAGATGGTTCCCATCATTCCCCACTAGCTGGTGGTCATCAAACAAAGTCCCATAGTCATAGAAACCAAAACCCTGTTGCCAAGCCCAGCGGCCCAGCCAGCTGTTAATCTGCCATATCTGCCTTCTCCTTCTTGAATCCATTCCCTTCGTTGGTAGAATAAACTGTGACATTGGTTTACATTCTCACCAACTGGATGCCTTTCACCCAGGAATTAAATGATACCTATTCAGTGGCCAAGCCCACGTCAAAAACATAAATGAAACTGAATTGCTCAAATGACATAATACTGTCTTGCTACTACTTCTCAGAAAAATTAACCAAACCATAAAGCAGAGAAGAATCACTCTTCAACAAACACATTTTATCATCTCTGATACCATGGTGATATACTACTTTGGTACCACTATACTGGATGGCTCCCTGGTACTAATATTTGAGCTTTGGAAAGAGCCTACCTATGCCTGAGACATGAATGCTTACCCTTCCATGTAACATCCCTCCAAGATACTAACACCTTATGACATTTACTTTACTGGTAAGAATAAAGACACTGGCTAGGTTCCAGTGCTTTGCTATTTTGCTGTATAGATGCCTGATTATGTACCTCTCTGAACAATGGCACTAGAGGATGAGATAAGAGTCCCTTCTAATGCTTGCATTATGGAGGCTGCCATGTGTTAAGTGTACACTGCCAGTGGATAACTAGGCTTGAGATTTCCTCTTTGTGGTCTTGGAATTAAATATGCTTTATCTCATTATTATATAAGATGAATTGAAATACCAGGAATATTTAAATCTTTTAATACTCACTCTTCTGTATTTTCATTGCCCAGCCATTCATTAAGCTTCTTCTGCCGAACACCTTTTTGAGTCAGCCACCTAGACAAAAATCACACAAAGAAGTTGTTATTCAGAGAAGTCAGACGCTAATAAAAACAAACTTAAAATACATTTTTATTAATTCATAATGATACTTACATTAAATACTGGTCTCTTGTTTTCCTCAGCTGTATCAGGTCTGGTTTAATGCTGTTCATACGCTTGTCTATCTCTCTATATTCTGCTGCTTGCTTCTTCAAATCCTCTTCTAATCTACGTCGGCTGTCCACAATTTCACTTATTCGAGACTTCAATTTTTCATAGTTGTGCATAATTCTGAATGGCATAATTTGGTAGGTTATACTCTCATGACTTATTCACAACTTAATCTACTATTTTCTTATGTAGATATTTAAGAGAATAGATTATTTCTCTAGATGTAGGTGCACATTGAGCAAACTCACTTCTACCCTACTTGAAGCTTGCTTAGCTTACAACTGAACTGTATACTTGCCAATGTACTATAATTTTAGGTAGATCTGTACTTCATACTGTTTCTTTCCTAAAAAGCATACAATTTGAAGTACAAATACAAATACTGACCTTTGTATTTCCTTCTCATTTCCTTCACGTTTAAATTTTTCAATGTATTCCTTACTGTATCTTTCTTGTGTCTGGCATTGCTCTTCAAATATTTTTATTGTTTCATTAAATGCTTCAATAGCTGTTCTTTTCATTTGAATTTCCTGAAAATAAAATAATTGTTATTACAGTTCTTATCAAACAGAAGGGATAATTTATTGGTTTGTATCACTGAAGAGAGACTTTAGTATGTTTTAACAGAATGGCTTAAATCCCTTTACTAAGAATGCATTCTGTCTGCAAAGCCTTACAAAAAATAGAAAACGGGCCTGTGCAAACTGCTAACACCATGAGGCTTTCCAAGAAAGGCAAACTGCTAGACAAAGGCCTAGTTTCAATATTTGTTTTGTATAAATAAGTTTTATTTGTGAGAATTGGAAGTTTATGGCACTGCACTTTGCCCTTTCTAACAACTAATGTTCTTGGAAGTATAGCTGCATTCTAAGATGTAGCACTGAACAAATCTCCAGATTTAATCTATTCCATCCTCCTGTACCTACACAGCTAGATGATATCCAAGTCTTTAAGGCAACTTTCAGGTTGCTTGAATACCTAGACCTTGCTTTGGTTATTTTTAGGCATATTTCCTCTATATTGTAGGAAGCTGTCTTGATCCTTAGGCTGTAAAACAGCACCAACAGCACTAATCCCATTGGCATTTCAAGACCCGGTTAAAATGAAAGAAGCATAGAGCCACCTTTTCAATCCTGCACTATATCTACACATCACCTCTCCACTCTGCATAGATGAAGCCAGCTCCTTCAAAAACTAATAATAAAACTAATAATAAAACACAAAGTTCCCTTACAAATATGTCTTGAAAATCTGCGCTTGACCTGATGAGGTCAGTGTGCAGAAGTGCTGCTAACCAAGGGAGTTCTGAGCTTGCTCTGGATGCAGGTGTTGGGCTTAACCATGGGGTCAGGTTGCAGGTGGTGATGGTTTAACCATGAGTAAGCAATTCCATTATACAGAGCAAGCACATCAAGTATGTTTCCTCTTTTAGGCAATAGTAGTGGTGGAGGAAGGGAGCAGGAGGAGGTGGCTGTCAGAGATGGCAGGATGGATTTATAGCAATATTCTTCTAAAACCACAGAAGACAACCTCCACTTTCTGTCTGGTTTCAAATGTAGCTCACCTGAGATGTTCTTGTATAGTCTTCATAGAGTCTGTCATATTCTCGGCTTTTTTCTTGGAACTGGGTATTATATTCATGTAATTTCTTTCCCACTGCTTCAATGCTATCCTCTTTTACTACTTGATCCTGGGAGGATGGGAAGAAGGAAATATATTCAGTAAAGAAACAATTACACTGCAAAGATTTGCAGGATAATGCCGCTTAAAAATGCCCAAATATTTTGCATTGAAGAGGTGGTATCTCATCAATATGGAGATACCACATACTATATGCATACAATATGCAAATTAGAAATAAAATTAATGACAAAAAAGTGCATTGCAAATGCACAGCTTTGTACTAAAAATTATATAATTCATTGTTAATGAGTGATATATTTATTAGCATAATGACTTTATTTCTTGTATATACAATATGTAAAGTTTTAATTATCTATTTGCAATTTACGGCTTTTTTTTTGAATCTAGCTTTATATTCTTTTTTTTCAAATATCAACAGGCGTGAGGTTCTTCATAATCAGTGACACCTCAGATTGTAATAACTTCTCTGTATTTAAGTGGAACACAAAGAAAATAAACCAAATTACCTGCTGGTACTTAGATACTGGATACAGTAATTTTACATCCAGTTTAGGATTATACTGGGCTAGAGATTCATTCCGGTAGTGGTTTATTAGCTCGACCACAGAGTTGAAAGTTAAGGGGTCAGAAAAGCCGTATTTCCCATCTCGGTGAAATATTTTGATCAATTTGTTGTTTCCTCCTTTCCTGCAAATGAAGTTTGTTGAAAATTCAGGCATAATTCAAATACTATTGCCTAAAGAACATGCATTTTCATATTTAGTATTTCATGTATACTATCAGGGGTTACCAATCCAGTGTAGCTGTCATACCTTAGTGTAAGGGTATAATCCCCATGCATTTTGGTTGAAGCATCTCGTACCAAAAAGGTACCATCAGCAGTATCTCGAAGCTTCTCATTTACTTCTTCCCTAAAATGAAATCAAAAGCAGTCAATGATTTCAGCTACTTCTCACTCATTTCTTCTCTCACTGTGCTCTAATTTCTTCTGCTTTAAAAGAACGATTTTTAAAGAGCCTTCCTGATCTCCATATGACCACAGCTTCTTAATAGCTTATATAATATTACTAGTGAACAAATCGAATATAAAAATGGTATCTTCAATATCCTCTGACTGTTGGAACAAAATAATATTAATGCAAAAGTCTTTCTGCTTGTTCATACAAGCCCAGGCAATTGGAGAAGCTGGTCTAATGTACCTATATATAGCACAGTTAAAAATGTTGTTAATATATGGCACTTGCTAGTCTGGTTTATTATTAACTATTGTGCCTGGATTTGAGGGTCTCGATGAAAGAAAAGAAGAAAATACTCATTTCTTAGTGTTGTCCTCTCATTTCACATAGCTGTCTTGCAATAATACAACAAGCACCAAATAATTGTACATATTACATTCTAACTGACTGCCAGTAACCTTTTAGTCATGTGTGGCAGAAAAACAGCTGTGATAATGTTAAGTGTTGGAAAATATCCTAAAACTGGGTCTTGGAACTATATTTTTTCTATGCTTAAACAGAATACACATATATAAAATAACACAGCAAGAATACAAAACGAATACAGGAAATATACATCTTGAGCTGATTTACCTTGAGATATCTCCCCAGTACCATTCAGCATCTTGTAATGACATGTTGTTATTCATACTGTTGTTAGTCACAGTATTAGGTTTTGGTGGCTTAGGAGGCAGTGCTGCAGATGAAAGGAGAAAAAGTTGATTACAACTCACTGAAAACCTGACCGTATATACCTTGAAATTTTACCTTAGTATATGAATGAGAAAAAAAAAATGAATGGCTATGAAAAACTAAGACTAACAGTCTTTAAAAGGTGCTAAAAGAATCAAGATATTTTGCTGAAAAAAATCAACAAGAAAAATGTACTTCAAAAAGTACATCACTCTTGCAATAACATATTTTATGCAAAACACCACCATACCTCACCCCCAAGTCAAGAAAGCATTTGGAAAAAAATAATCTGAAGTTTGTTTTTACCTCCTTCCATTGTTCTTACATGAATATAAATAGTAAAGCATGTAAAATCTCTTTTTTCCTCCTATACAATGATGTTAGAGGAATGATGCTATTTTCTCACCTAGTTGCTAGATGATAAAAAAATGCAAACCCACAGCAATGCTGTGCATTTTCAGAAGAATTTGATTTCTCTGATACTCAGAATTTGCGCAATGATTTGCTGAAAACTACTTTAGGAAACCCATCTGTGACCCATATATCCCTTGTGTTAATCTTGATATTCTACAGAATAAATTGTGCTCTAAATGTCAGGACTGATTAAAAACCACATCCCCTTTTCTCAATGTCAAAGCTGCATACATATACCAGTGATTGCCAGAGAAGATACTGCAGCACTCCTGACTTACTAGCAAGGGGGACTACATGGGAAAGAGGATTAAAAATCAAACCAGCTCTTGCAGTTCTCTAGTGAGTATAACATTCCTTACAAACATGCATAAGAAGACTGGCTACAAAAGACAATGATTTTATAATTGCGATAAATGACAGGAGAGCTTAATATTTTTAATACCATATGATAAAATGATGCAATATCAGAAATTCAATTAACAGTTACATTTTAAAATCTGTTTTTCCTAAAACAATCCAAAACAATGATTTGTAATCACTGTTTCAGGAAATATAAGTGTTATTACAGCATCTCTTTTTAGCCACAATGTGGAGCATAGATAGCAAAAATAGTAATAATAAAAGAAATGCAACATTTTTAGAATATAATAGCAGAGCTAGAGCTACATATGACAAAATAAAAAGGAAACAGAAACACGTCAATTCAGAAAAAAAATCAGTTAAGTAAGCAGACAGGTATTTCTACAGGTTATGATTCTAATTACTATAACCATGCACTAAAATACAATTTAATTCTAATATATTCAAAAAAAGAAAGAAAAAAAGGAAAACTATCTGAATGAATGACAAAGTAAATAAATCTTAAATATCTACTAAGGATCTTTCAGCAGCTATCGTAAAGACCAAAATGAATTAGTCTTCCATAATAAAACTGCAGCTTTACCTGGTGGATCCATTTCTATGTAAAACATCAAGTCTGTGCCACAATTTATATCTGTCTTAGGATAGTCTATATCCAGCTCTTCCATATTCCAAACAGTATTGTACATTTGTATGAGTTTCACAGAGTAAGCACAGATATAAGAAAAGAGTCAGGCTCTCTTTGTAATGGTGTCTTGGAATTCATTTTAAAACCTATAAGGGGCTGCACTGTAACCTATTACATCATGATCCTCAGCCAATCATGTCAAAATAATGTCACCAGACCCCTCCTGCTTCATCATTCGCTTCTACATTAATCTTAAAACAATTTCAGTTTCTGAAAGAATCTGCATCCAGCTGCCCAGCACGAGAGAGCCGCTGTTGCGAGCAGAGTGCTGGAGTGGCTCTCCCGTCACGCCCGTCTCCGGTTCCTGCTCCCGGCTCCTTGTGGCTTGGTACAGTTCGAGCCTGGCAGGGTGACAAAGGCTGATGTGCTGCAGTGTGTAGCTTGCACACGTGCGCGCAGCACGTGCACATGCAGGGCAGCTCCGCTTAGAGGTAGGCAGGTCACTCCTCAGTTTCAGTCTCCTACCCCATGCATGGAGTTGAGCACTCAAAAAGCTCTAATAAGCATGTGCACCTACTGTGCACACACTGAGACAGGAAAGGGAATTAGAGCATGACTCCATGCGTGTGTGGATATCTATTATACACATGTATACACATCCACATTTTAAAATATTAATTATATTTTTAAACTTCAAAAATTCCTGCATTTTTAGCAACACAAAGTACTGACACATTTGCTATCGCTACACAAAAACGTACTTACTACAGAGAAGTTTTTTTTTTTTTTTTATCCGTATCATTTTGTAATGCAAGAGTAATCATCTGGACTAACTAATTTTGAAATCTAAAAATCAAATATTGTAATCTCACATTTAGGATGCCACTGAGACTTTCTTAAACCACTGAAGAGAGTCAGCATTGAGAAAGATCTTGAATAATTTTGCTGAACATAAAAAGATGGTCTGTCAGGATAAAACAAGATTTAGTCTGCCTTTTCACACTGTTTCTCTACCCTGCTCTCATTGAGATATTTATCATGTTAGTTGTTTTTAAAAGCAAGAGTCCTTGTCAGTGTCTTTTTCCTAACTTGACACCATGTCATTGTGGAAGAATTGTTTGTGGAAAAATTGTTTGAAAGCAGGAACTGAGAGGAAAACTAGGGCCTAACAGAAGTTTTGGCATTACAAAGCTTGCTTGGGGTGATACACAGTTGCCACTTCCAGGATGGCTGGTGCGCACAGACTCTGCTCCTCCACGGTTCCCTGGGCAACACAATCTACCCTCCTCGCAGCTGCAAAAAGGAGTAACGGAGGATGGAGCGGAGTGAAGACACCGCAGCCAAACTCTGTTGCACTCCCTGTGCTGGGCTGCTGATAAG